GCGGGGGGAATAACCAAAAAACCAAAACCAAACCAGCAACTCCCCCCAAACCCTCCAAAAAGATAAAATCAACAACACTCCCCCAACCCCCCTAAAAAAAACCCCACAACAAAACGTGAAACAACTAACAAACCAAAATGCTACCCCCCCAGTTTTATGCACTGTCTCAGCTGACTCTCAGCCTCATTAAACTTTCTGTTCTCCTTCACAGAAGCTGTAGAACTACAGACAGATCCAAAGCACCAACAGCTCTTCAAAAGAGAATCAGGACCTACTTTCTCTCCCTGCTTTCTCCCTCTCTTTGTGGAGGAGCGTGTCTTTACGTTCTTTGTGAAATATGAATGTAGTATTTATCTGAATATACAAAAATGTTCCATGATATGAGTAACTTTGGCTACTTGAAATCAATGGAATCACTTCCATTAGAAGAGTTCCTGTCAGTGAAACCACAGCCAGGATATTTAAAGATCATATCACAGATTAATTATCTTCTGACATCAGTAGTCAGTACTAAATTAAAACAAATTACAAACAAAACACCTACAAAAATGCCCATTCCTTTGCTGATTTTTTTATCTACAAGTAATCACTTGAGAAAAAGAACTCTCAAAAGCAAAATCTCAAACATCCTTTTATCAATGTTTACGTACTCATTGTGTATATATGGTACTGTACACCATAATAAGCTGGAAATACCTTGTTCTATTAGTTTTATTTCTATTATTTCAATGTTACAGCCACATAATGTATCTTATGAATCTATTAAAGTTTTTGGTGTCAATACAGTTTGATTTCCACTAATTACCTTATGATCAAATTTAATGATAAAACATGAAATGTTGCCTACGCATATAGCAAATGAACATATAACATATTTCAAGGTTTATCGCTAATCCATTCACAAAACCACATGCCTCTTCTGTGGAATGGCTAAAAGACAGGCAATCCTTACTTACTGTCCTCGCTTACTGTCATACCTCCTCCTTCACCATTCATATGATCCTCTGACAAGCTGATTCAGATTGTTAAATGGCAAAAAAAGTGTATAGTTTTAGAATTATTCATGAACCCGAATGACTCCCCAGAGGGGAAAAAACACTCAATTTTGGGCAAGGGATGAGGCAAGAAAAGCTCCCCTTTAGCAGCAACAGTTAAATAATTTTATATATTCCGTGTTTTTATTATAAGAAAAAAAAAAAAATCACAGTTGTGTTCAAGCCAACCACCAAATGATCAGAAAGACCTTCTCCATGAACTTGTCTCCTGGAGCTTTTCTTTCCATTATGTTCCCCAACGCCATCCCTAGCGTTGCTCTCATACAACCAGACAACGTCACACAAACTTTCTATAACCACAGTGCTAGAATGCAAGTGTTCTTACTGCTGTATTTTGGCATAGTTTTTACTTAACAGGGTCAGTTACACTGCAAATCATATTTAGCATCGCATGACAAAGTATTCATACCATCCTCTCTTCTTTTGTAGCGTGTAGGGCTTTCCTCTGCAGCAGGTGAAATCAAACAAAGTCAAGCTTGTTATGAACCTATTATACTCTACAATTTTCATAAGGTGACTACAGAGTACTTCCAGTTATGGGATCCAAATTTAGTCACAATCACTTTTACAAAATAACTTGCACATTTTACTCAGAGTCTAATAGTGGCATCTAATGTATATATAATGGAGCAGCTGCCCTTGCAGGAATGGAACCTGTAGAGAGGATGGGTTTCTAGAAGAACTATTAGGGCAATGTCAACGGTAACTAAAAGGCACTGAGCAGACTTGTATTATATAACCAATGCTCTGGTCAGAACTAAAGTAGCACATGGGTTTATCTAAAACTCAGTCATTTAAGGCCATCAAAGCTGTATAAAAGTTGCAGGAACAATTGCATTTTGTGAGGCTACAACACAAAAATGCCAGTGCAGTGCTGTAACTCCAACAAACAGAGGTGGACAGAGGTTGTTGTGTACAAACATGGTGCAACATGAGCTACAGTACTTGAAGCATGGGCATGAATTTGCTTCTGCAAACCTCAAAGGACAGTGAGGACAACTGCCAGCACCGCAGTAAGGCCGATACTTCCATACTGTAACAATATACTGGTATAAGAAGATTCACCAGAGAATTCCTGATAGAGGTCTTCGTTGCATTTACACACATTTTATGGCATTACAGCTGTACTGCATGGATGTAGTATTTTCATGTTCCTAAATAATATCTCTATGCTCATGAAACATTGTTAATAGACCTAGCCTATGTAAAGTCTAGAAATTACACCACAAAGTTTCTCTTGCCTCTGTAAAAGCTATCTGGATTATGGATATGACTTTTTTTTTTTTAAATATAAGTTTTACTTTGGTAACGTTTCTCTTTTTTTTTTTCTAAATATGGTCCATTGCTTAGTGCAAAGGGATCACTCTGGGACTGTTTTTCTCCTGTGTGACTCGGTTAGAATAAGCTCATAGAATTTAGTAACGTGAGGAAGAAAAGTAGGCAAGCATGATTTTAAACTCTGCAATTCTACTCAGGCAACTCTTCACAGGCACCAAGGAACAGAATGGAGGAATACAGCCTTGCTGCAATGCAAAAGGGTAGGAGAGAGCCATTACATGTTTATTATGTATTCAGGGAAAGGGAAGCCAGAATTGCTAGTTTTCTCTCTTCCCGAGAGGAAGGAAGACGTGGCATTGAGCCATTGTTGACAGCAGCACTCTATTCCCTCCATCCCAAAGAGGCTTCGACTGTAAAAGATATTCAAATCATGGACTGTAAAATGACCGTACTTCTCTGATCACTGACCTACCATTTATCTAGTCAGAACTTTAGGAAAGGCTGTATAAAAGCAACTTCTCAGAATGTGTCTCACAACAAGTTCAGAAAGTCTGCAAGTAGCATCTATCATCAGTGGCATGCTATGGCTCTGATATTGCACCAACTCACTATTGTATTTCTGGCAGCAAAACTACACTAACACACAAAAAATGCAAATATTTTTTCTGTAGGAGTAAAGAGCTTTCCACTGGAAAGTGCCACCTATTTAAATTCTTCAGCTGTTGTCTACAAATATTTTTATCATGCAGAACTTCTCAATTAAATTTATAGGGAAGGACAACTCTGGAAAGTGAGCTATACATATGAAAGGCAATTATGAATGTGTAATCCATGTAGAAATTTCATAAGCAGAGCAGCAGCACACATTTATTTAAATGCCTTTACAGACAGACTGCCAAATCTTGAAGCCTTTTCTTTCACTCCACACTTTCCCACCGCTGTGAGAACTATTTCTCATTAACAACCAAATTGGTTTCAGATGCTCTGCTATAAGATGTTACCTTAGAAACCATTTGGTAAAAGACTGTGGCTTCCTTCCATAGAAATCTCAAGCAGTGAAAAGGCAGATTTTCTGGCATAAATCAAATCCAATTTCTAGGGTTCACTAAACCTTTTCTCCTCAGAATAATGTTTTGTGACTAGATCTTAGCAGTTAATAGTGCACGAAGAATTGCTGGTGTGAACCAGTTTTAAATTATTTTCATTCTATTCCTTTTGTTAACTCAATTGAAATTACTTCTAGTACTTATCGTACCTTGATAGAACTTTTAACTTTATAACTAATAAGGATATGTACAGCAAATAAATAGATTGAATAAAAATATGTTATTTTCCTCCTCTTTAATACATCTCCTTAAACTACTCTATCTGATAAAGATTACATTAATTGATTAACAACATTAAACATTTGGAAATACTTCACAATAAATGAGACAGACCTGTGACAATTTTTTCCTCCTCCAAACAACTTCCACAAAAAAGAACGATCAAAACAAAAAAAAATATTAAGCCCGTATTCTGTACTTAAGTAGGACATTATCATAAACATTCCTGGTGTGAAAGTTTGACTTAAAAGTTATGTAAATAGTTTACAATTAAGCATGATCAGCATACAATTAAGTAGAGGGACAGCTATTTTTAGAAGTGTTATCAACCATGAGACCAATAATTCAAACCCACTTTGAATATTGTAAAGATAATATTACAGAAAAAATTATAAAGAGAACTGCAATTTATAGTGACTTGTAGCTTACAAGATGAAAATGTATGTACGATAATTCATCACTGTAAGATCCTAATTCAAGATGACAGTCAAGCTGATGACTGATTTTTGACATCATAACAGTGCCCTTTATACCTACCAGACTACCCACAGTATAAGTGCAATTGTGAATCATGACAAGACCCTACTCTTGCAATACCATGTGACACTGCAAGGTCCAAGACTTGCAGTGTCCCACTGCTAACTAATTGTGTTCATGAGTTCGAAGGACAGCAGCAATCCAGCTATCTGTAGAGCAAACTAAAAATGAACAATAAAGAACGTTTCTGATCAAATGTTTGTTTTTTCCCCACATCATCTAAGAATTTAAAATGTATTTTCTCAAGGTTTCCAAGACAAACAACATTTCTTGTAGCCCCTCCTCTCACATTGCACATTCAACCTTAGAATAGTATGCATTAGAATGCAAAGCACTTCAGGAAGAATTCAGGCGTTAAGCCTGGGGAACAGAGCTTACAGTTATGAAACTGATGTAAAGCCACAAAGATGGCTTTCCCCTTTCTCTCCCCTGGTAAGGAGCATTTTGTGTCACTCTCTGTGCTGGAGGTACTTGGCATAAACATTAGAAGAACTGAAGAAAGTTTAGGAATCAGTACCTCCCTCTTCCCGATTTGGAGGCATGAGGAACTACTGCCATTTAGGTTACAGCAGCATGTGACATCACCATTCACTGCTGCCAAAACTATGCTAGGAAGCTCTGGCAAAGAAAAAAGGTATGATGATTAAAATCTGCTACATGAAGGGTGAAAGATAAAAGCCAGCTTTCTTGCCCTCCCCCCACCCCCAAGTTTGGTATCATTTTTCTACATTACAGAAACATGGTGAAAGACATAAGTTAAATACACTGGAGCTTGTTTCTCTGTTCATTTCAAACTGGTTACAAATAATTTGTTCATCTAGTGGGCAATCAAGCTTGTAACATTTAAAAGTATTAAGGGCAACAGCACATTTAAAAGCATACACATAAAGTGCTTCTGCTTATACTGATTAAGGCTTTAATTATTAAACAGTGATAGAAACCTACATTTGTTTTTTATTACTTAGACTTAGTGATGGACATTTAAAATTCAGTATCACATCAGCAACAGTGTGATTACCAAAAAGAATCCAGCATGAGCAAGGAAGCTATCTTTCTGCTATTGAATCACAGTTCATATGCCAAAATATAAATAAGGTAAAATCCCCAGCAAAGATATAAAAAACTGGCCTCCTAGATTTGTAGGTGTACAAAGAGAGCAGAGACAAAGGAGCAATTTTCCCCAGAAAAATAAATTATTTCTGTACTGTGTCCACTCTGGTATAAGCAAAAATTGACCCAGCATTTTGCCCCACATGCATTTACTAGCACCCTTTAAAACAACATTTGTACGGCATTCGGTCTTTTTTAAAGACTAAAACACCACCAGACTGGAAGCAGGTGAAGTTAGAGGAAAGCAAGGAAGGCAGGAGCTCCGCAGGTTTAGTCAAGTTCGGAGAGGACGCTGCTTTGTTCCACTGTCTACAAATACACAGCTGCCTGGAATATGGCCACATTTTGTACATGAGAGAAGTTAAATATCTGGAGGCCCTCAAAGCTCAAGTACAACTTCTCAAGGTCAGATCTACTGAAACGGTGGATGAATTGAGACAGAAAGATTTATAGATGTGGCATTTTGTTCATCACAAGAGGCTATTAAGGAAACTTGGTAACCATGGGTGAGAAGCAAAGTCCCGACTGAGTAAAAAAAAATGGTTGAGACACAAAACAAAGGGAAGAAATAAACAGCCGATTCTTATTACAGGGCAAGATTAATAGGGGGGAGTGCCATAGGTCTTGGTATCAGGACCACTGTTCCATAAATTTCCTTAAGAACTGAAGC